AACCGTTAAAGACACACTTCTGGTCTGGCCGGGCCTTAAAAAAAAAAAAAAAAAGTACCGAGAACACACAACAGCTTAAGCCTCAGTTACAGAGTCTGAGGCCTAGGACGGCGGCTTTCTTCTCGGTCCCCAATCCCTGTTCCCTCCTCGACCTGGAATTCAAAATTACTGTAACGATGTATCTAAGAAGTATCACTATCCGCTCAGGTCATGATCCCAGGGTTCTGGGATCCAGTACCCCCCCACCCCCCAACCATCGGGCTCCTTGCTCAGCGTGGAACCTGCTTCTCCCTCTTTGGGCCACTCACCCGCTTGTGCGTGCCGACGCTCTCTCTCTGACAAAATCTTAAGTAGGCACTCCGGTCTATTTTCCGGAGTTTTCCAGCTTCACCTCCTCCCCATCCCCAAATTCCCACATTTCCTTACCCAGTCGGGCCACAGCCTACCCCAACACCACCCGACAAAAACGAAGTCAATCCGTCAATGTTTACTTCCTGGCTTTCCTCCCTCGCCCGGCAGCCACTGCGGTAGTTTCCGGGCGAGCTACACATGCGCACTAACATTTTGGGGGGGGCTTCAGGGTCCCACGCGATGTTGTTATCGCGAGATGTTTTTACCTCGGGAAAGAGGGGTTAGTTTGAGCTGCTCTAGAAGTTTGAAATGTGTTTTGCAGAATCTTAGGACGTTAAAAAAAAAAGAAAGTACTGAGAATACACAACAGCTTAAGCCTTTCTACAGAACTATGTAATGAATGGGGAAGTTCGTGACATATTAATTAAAAAAAGTCAGACACTGCGTAACACTGGGGGCGTGGTGAGTAAAAAGAGTCTTTAGTTCCTCGAAATTACATCATACAGAGTGAAAAAGACATTAAAATGATTATTCAAATAATTTACAGTTGTAAAAAGTCTCTGTGAAAGGAATACCAGATGCTATGAGAACATAAGGCACTATTTGGTAATTGACATTCTGCACCGAAGTGATCTTGTGTTTTATCATTAGAAAAAAAATACTATAAAACAATTTCTTTTTTTTTTTTAAAGATTTTATTTATTTATTTGAGACAGAGAGAACACATGAGAGGGGGGAGGGTCAGAGGGAGAAGCAGACTCCCCGCTGAGCAGGGAGCCCGACGTGGGACTCGATCCAGGGGCTCCAGGATCATGACCTGAGCCGAAGGCAGTTGCTTAACCAACTGAGCCACCCAGGCGCCCACTATAAAACAATTTCTATTTTGGGAAAACAATAGTATCTATGACATCCCAACCCTCTTTTTTTTTTTTTTTTTTTAAGATTTGTTTATTTATTTGAGAGAGAGTGAGAAGCAGACTCCCTGCTGAGCAGAGAGCCCGACATGGGGCTGGATCCCAGGCCCCTGAGATCTTGACCTGAGTGGAAGGCAGACGCTTAACCAACTGAGCCACGCAGGCAACCCCCAACCCTCCTTTTAAAGTACATGTATGGGGAGGCCTGGGTGGCTCAGTTGGTTAAGCTCTACCTTCTGCTCAGGTCATGATCCCAGGGTTCTGGGATCCAGTACCCCCCATCCCCCCCAGCCATCGGCTCCTTGCTCAGCGTGGAGCCTGCTTCTTCCTCTTTGGGCCACACACCCTGTTTGTGCATGCAGACTCTCTCTCTGACGAATAAATAAATAAAATCTTAAAAAAAAAAGTACAAGTATGAGGGTGCTTGGGTGGCTCAGTTGGTTAAATGTCTGCCTTCTGCTCAGGTCATGATCCCAGAGTCCTGGGATCAAGCCCGCGCCTGGTATTGGGGCTCCCTGCTTAGCGGGAAGTCAGCTTCTCTCTCTCCCTCTGCCCCTCCCCCCTGCTCATTCTCTCTTTATCTCAAAAAGAAAAAATAAAAATCTTTAAAAAAAAGTACGTGTATGAAGTGAGACAAAATACTGGGAAAAAAGCAGTAATTTTGGTAAATTTTTTATGTTTTTTCTTCTATGTGCTGTTGTCATTTTTAAAATTTTTCAAGATATCATGTATCGCATTTATGTATTTATTTATTTATAGAGAGACAGAGAGAGGGTGAGCAGGGGGACGGGCAGAGGGACAGGGAGAAAATCCCCAAGCAGACTCCTCACTTAGCACAGAGCCTATTGCAGGGCTCGATCCTGGAACCCCAAGATCATGACCTGAGTTGAAATCAAGACTGTCGTTTAGCCGAGTGAGCCGCCCAGGTGCTCCATCATGTGTTGCTTTTGGAAGTAGAAGTGAGGGGCGCCTGGGTGGCTCAGTCAATTAAGCGTCTGCCTTCGGCTTCTGGAGTCCTAGAATTGAGCCCCAAGTCAGGCTCCCTGCTCAGTGGGGAGTCTGCTCCTCCCCTCTCCCCCCTCATGCTCTCTCTCTCAAATAAATAAATCTTAAAAACATGTAAAAGTGAAAATAGCTTACATCCTTGTCTCAAAGCCTCTCAATATAATCTAAGTTTTTTCTTATTAAAGATTTGCAGGGCCTAGAGTTTAGGAATGTAAATACTAATTTTGATTTTGCAGGGCAATAGGTGAGGGAACAGAAAGAGTTAGAGAATAGCCTGAATAGTTAGTGAATAGTCTCTGAATAACCCAAAACCCTTTTGTTTTCATCTCTTTCAACAATTCCTGAAATCCGCTTGGAAGTGGTGAGGCCTGTTTTAACACTCCCAGGCACCAGCTAGGGAACACATCTCCCAGGGGAATCATATGTGTACTAGAAGAGAAGGAAGAACCTTTTGTAAGGTTTGGGTTCCCCCTGGAGGATTCAGAGGAGAGTATAGGGAAGCAAGGGGTCAGTTCTAGATGGGTTGCTGTTTGTAAATCAGGATTAGAATAAACTGGGATTGATTAGGATCTAGGTGCTGTGATAAATTGAGGGTGTTTACTAATTGGGTAATCTAGTAAGAGTAGGGAGTAGTAAAGCGGGTCTGGGGCATCACTGGTGACAAAACAATAATCTTTCGGGTGCCTGGGTGGCTCAGATGGTTAAGCATCTGCCTTCGGCTCAGGTCATGATCCCAGACTCCTGGGATCGGGTCCCGCATCAGGCTCCCTGCTCCTTGGGAGCCTGCTTCTCCCTCTGCCTCTCTCTGTCTCTGTCTCTGTCTCTCATGAATAAATAAATAAAGTCTTAAAAAAAAAAAACAATAATCTTTCAAAGAGGGGGTGGTCAAAGCATACAGTTGACCTTGGGAGACACAGTGCTTCCTGTTGTAAGGGGAAGACTTAACCAGGGGAGATACAAATCTTGCACCTGAAGACCTTAGGAGATAGAGGATCCCCACTTCGAAGCTGTAGGTGATGTACAGCTATGGTTTCAAAGTGAACGCTTTTGTGTGCTGATGATGCCAGATAAAGTTGAAATATTTAGCGGGAGATACAGGGGGAGAGTGAAGAGGGGGGTGAGAACAAAAGGAAAAGGGGCCATAAGGGTGTGCATGGTTTTTGCTCTTTTTACCTTTTTTTTATTTTTTAAAGATTTTATTTATTTATTTGACAGAGAGAGACACAGCGAGGGAGGGAACACGAGCAGGGGGAGGGGGAGAGGGGAGAGGGAGGCCTCCCGCGGAGCAGGGGGCTCGATGCGGGGCTCGATGCGGGGCTCGATGCGGGGCTCGATGCGGGGCTCGATGCGGGGCTCGATCCCAGGACGCTGGGGTCATGACCTGAGCCGAAGGCAGACGCTCAACGACTGAGCCACGCAGGCGCCCCTCCTTTTTACCTTCTTGAATTAGGATCTTTTCTCCTTGATGCCTAGCCCAGTGTCTAGCACTTAATCAACATTCAATAAATACCTACTGAATGAATTAATCCTTCAACCAATTTTGGTTCCGAAATGCCAGGAAAAGGGCCAATGAACTGACATATATTGAGAACTGCATCTATGCTAGGTGTAGTGCTAATTCTTTTGTGAAATAATGTAGGCTCAACTTACCTACAAGTTAGAATGCATCTAGTGACCTGTGGGGAGTAGGTCAGTGTTGGTCTTTTGATTTTATTCCTTTACCTTGTATTTGTTTAATCTATTTCCACTTACTATAGAAATATGAAAAGGTCATTAATTTTTTCAAGCATAGTTTCTCCCCATATCTTGGAAATTGGAATTCCTTGTCTATATTTTTATTATTTTTATTATTCCCCAGATCTTTTTCTCCCTCTTGTGCCCTCCACCACCAGGCCTTTCCAGGCAGCTGTGATGAATGTTTTGTTAAGATACAGAGGTTTAACATAAGGTTAAGAGGCTTAAAATAAGTCCCATTAAATGATAGAATTTGAAAGGAAGCCTGAATTATGTACTCCTTAGGATCATCATTTTGTTCATAACCCAGATTCTTGATGCTATAATAGAAACAGGATCCTAGCTTGAAATATTGAGGGTAGTTCTCTAGTTAGGGAATAGTCAGTCCATTCTTAATCACAAGCCTAACAGAAAGACTCGAACATTGCTGTTTGATCTGTTTGTATTTACATTGCTTCTTAACCTTTAAAGATTTATTTATTTGAGAGAGAGAGAGCTGTGAGCGATGGGGGAGGGGCAGAGGGGGAGAGAGAGAAAGAGAGAGAGAAAAAAAAATCCTGAAGCAGGCTCCCTGCTGAGCGTGGGCGGGGGGAGGAGGGCTTGATCCCAAGACCCTCAGATCTTGACCTGAGCCAATAATCAAGAGCAGGCCACTTAACCGACTGAGACACCCAGTGCTCTGCTAGAGTTCTTTAGAGAGAATCCGAGTTGTTTTAGCACTTGACTGTATTTTTTTCATATATCTAATTGAAATACAACTATATGTATCCATAATTCCTCATTTTTCCAATGACTGCAATCCCTTTCCTCCAGGGCTGCATCTACTTTTTTATTTGCTCTGCTCTATTTACTCTTTGGGCAGATAGTTAATTGAAGACTTTAGGAAAATAGTTCTGTCCCCACTTTGCCTTGACTGAACCCCACAGTCTTTTCATTTAAGAACTTCCTGGCCACCTAAGTGTCTCAGGAAAAAAACCCCAAACTCTGTATCTTGATATCATAATAATCATTTATTTCCTGGAATTGAAGACCATATTCACTCCCTTTCTATCTCTGTGAGGAGCAGGTTAACAACACCTAGAAGTAAAGGTGTCAGCAGGTTTGGTTTTTTTCTTCCCACGAAGCAAGCTACAAACTTCCCGGGAAAAGCTTTCCAGGCGGTGCCGCGGGAGCTTGGGTTCCTCCCATTGGTTCTTTCTGGGAGCCTCCGCCCACCCACGGTCCCGCCTCCTGGGAAGATGAACCAATAGGGGCGTGAGTTGTGGTTTAAACTCGGAGTCCGGCGAGGGCGCTGGAGACCGAATCTTGGTTGAATTTGGCTGTGGATTCCGACGTGGGTGGACGGTGAGGTCGTGAGTGGCTGGGCGCGCGGATCTCGCGAGGAAGGAGGTGGGCTGGAGGCCGGAGGGCCTGGGGGTCGGGGGTTGGGGCTTCCCGGGGTCGTCTGTAGCGCCGAGCCGCGTTGAGCCACGGCCTCGGACTGCTTGCGCAGCCCTCGTTCTGATGAGTACCAGGACCGGTGCCAGCCCCAAACCGCCGACTCTTCTGGAACTTAGAGCCTCCGGCGTAGGCTTCAAGAGTTAAGAGCTGGATTAAATGCCTGTTGGCTCAAGAACGGGCTTCGCTCGCTCCTTAGCTCTAGTTTTTACGTGGACGTGCCCAGGGTAGAAAGTTTGGTCTGTGCTACACCTTCTCTTCTCTCATCCTCCCTAACCCCCCGGGTCTAATATGCGTTTCATACCCGCAGCTAGTCCAGAATGGCTACCCTGATCTTTGTTGATAAGGAAAATGGAGAACCAGGCACCCGTGTGGCTCCCAAGGACGGGCTGAAGCCGGGGTCTAGGCCTCGTAAGTATACAGGCTGCGACGCGAGTTACAGGTATTGTGAATCAATTGTGGGCGTGGCCCGGAGTTGGAGAAGCATTCCGTGTACTTCGTTGGCAACTTGAGTCAGGTATTACCGAATACCTCTATTGCAACGTGCTTGTTAGGGGTCTCTTTTTTCATGTTCAGTGCCTTAGATTATTTAAGAGGGTACAGAACTGAAGTACTGTTGGGCATACGGCCATGCCACCGTCAAAAGTGGGGGTTGAATTTGGGGATGAGAATGAGGCCAGGTTGATATACACAGTCAGCCTTCAAGTTGCACAGGTGTTTATTGCCTGCCTAATCTTATGGTAAGTCTTTTTCTTCAGCAGTCAAAGCTTTAGATGGGAGATCTCAGGTTTCAACACCACATGTAGGCAAAATGTTTGATGCTCAAGCAGCCTTACCTAAAGTTGCCAGAAAGGCTTTGGGAACTGTCAACAGAGCCACAGAAAACTCAGTAAAGACTAATGGATCTCTCAAACAGAAGCAGCCGACCTTCTCTGCCAAAAAGGTAAGTGTTGGCTGCAAAGTCACTGTTGAAACACTCTAGCACTTTTTTTTTTTTTAAGATTTTATTTAGTCATTTGACAGCTACACAGGAGAGAGGGAACACAAGCAGGGGGAGTGGGAGAGGGAGAAGCAGGCTTCCTGCAGAGCAGGGAGCCCCATGTGGGGCTCTATCCCAGGACCCTGGGATCATGACCTAAGCCTAAGGCAGACACTTAAGGACTGACCCACCCAGGCGCCCCCACTCTAGCACTTTTGACTCTTAAAATGACTATTGGCATCCTACCTTGCTTTCTCTCGTGAATACAAGGAGATAGAGGCTACCAAACGTAGATTAAGGGGAGGGAAGCATACTCTTTTTGTGGTCTTCCTCTGTGCCTTGAGATCAGAAGTCTCAGAAGCAGCTGGTGAATATTTTTGCCTCACCTGCTCTTAACTAGTGTCGAAGCGGATTGGTTGGTAGTATCTACTTATGGATACAGAAAGTACTGAGAGGGAGGGTCCTTTGCAGGAGGTCAGGGAGCTAATATAATAGCTCAGGTGCTACCATCCCCCCCCCCCCCCCCCCCCCCCCCCCCCCCCCCCCCCCCCCCCCGCCTCCTGGAGCAAGCACCAGGTACTTTACTTTGCTAGCATGTTGATTTTTGTGTGTGTGCATGAGCTGAAGGTCTGTGCATCCCAGACTGAGGAGACTTTGCTGTGAAAGATGACTCAGCACGTAGATTTACACTTCATTTGATAAAATAAATGGTTTTACTATGTATTAGGGAAAAAATAGTACTTTATATTAAAATAAGACTTGTGTGGTTTAGGACAAGATATCTTTTAAAGATTTTATTTATTTAGTTATTTATTTTATTTGAGAGAGAGAAAGAGAGAGAGAAAGCACATGAGATGGGAGGGTCAGAGAGAGAAGCAGACTTCCTGATGAGCAGGAAGCCCGATGCGGGACTCGATCCCGGGACTCTAGGATCATGACTTGAGCCGAAGGCAGTCACTTAAACAACTGAGCCACCCAGGCGCCCAGGACAAGATATCTTTTAGAAAACTGAGTAAGAGAAATGTTAAGTTCAAGTATTGCAAGGCTATGGCAAAAATAATGAGAATGTGACAGAGAACTGAAGTATGGGAAACCCTACTTTAAGGATTTCCTCTAGGTATGCACATATGACATAAAGTTGGATCAAGAATATGCAGGCTTCTGCTTTGGCCTGCTATGGTAGACTGCTTATCTGCCAATTTTAGACTAGGTAGTTATCCAGGCTTCTAAAGTCCTTGACTGTCTCTTGCTGACTCTTACTCAGTGTGTATATTTCAACTTATATTAACCAAGCAAATAATTAAGGTAACACTGATGGAAACACAGATGGAAATCACCCTTCCAAAAGCCAAAAATGGCTGCTAGGATTAGCTTCTATTTGGGTGACTCATGCTGTTTTCTCTGACAGGTTGAGTGACTGAGTTGATTAGCTCTGAATTAACTCTGCCTACTTGGTGACTTATGTTAAGAGCTGCGGATACTTAAATTTCAGACTTAAACTCATGAGCCGTGCTACTAGAATTGCTTGCTGAATTGTATTGGTATGTAATTATGAGAACTAAGAATTATGGTTTTTAGAAGTCAGCATGAAATGGAAAACTGGTGAAGCAGTCACATGTCTTAAAGAAGACTATGATCTTTTGTTCTAATCAGTTGACAAGGCTTCCCCTTTCACTAATTCATATTTTCTTGGGTGGTTTTAGGTGACTGAGAAGACTATCAAAGCAAAAAGCTCTGTTCCTGCCTCGGATGACACCTATCCAGAAATAGAAAAATTCTTTCCCTTCAATCCTTTAGGTAGTATTCTTTTGGTATTACAAAAATGCTTTAGTCTTGAGTGTCTCTTAGAATCCAATTCAAGTCTAATTTGATATGGATGTGAATATGACCTATGACCCAAAACTGTAATAAGACTGTCTGAATCTGGGTTTCTTTGTTTTTTGTTTTTGTTAAAGATTTTATTTTATTTATTTGACGGAGAGAGAGACAGTGAGAGCAGGAACACAAGCAGGGGGAGTGGGAGAGGGAGAAGCAGGCTTCCTGCGGAGCAGGGAGCCCAATGCGGGGCTCGATCCCACGACCCCGGGATCATGACCTGAGCCGAAGGCAGTCGCTTAGCCACCTGAGCCACCCAGGCGCCCCAAGAATCTGGGTTTCTTTGAATAAAAGTACTTGTTGGTGGATTTATTTGTAAGGAACATCTTAGGTCAGAAGGGGAATTTGTACAAAGATGTAGAGAACATTGTTTCCTCAAATACTTACCACATAAGGGAGATAAGATGTGTTCACTAACATTGAACAAGTCTAAAGACCGTATTCCTAGCAGGCCTTTTAAAAAGTGAGTTTAATGTCAAGTTGAACAATATCTGAAAAAATCCACATAGTCTGTGGTAATGTGTGTATTTTTACTCCTTCAACCTGCTACATGTATCCAAAGTATTTTCTGTTATAGAAGCACCTTTTCAAGCTTTAAATTTTCTTCAGTTTGAGGAGAGGCTACTGTATCCAGGCTTTGGATGCAGTGGTTAACAAGCCAGGCCCCACCTTGAGGGAGCCCATGATTTGGAGGGAAAGGCAAACACTGAAAAAATCCTCTCACTGTAAGTGTGAGAAGGAGAACACCAGCCCATTAGGGGGAACTAAACCTCACCTGGAAGAGCAGGGAAGGTTTCTCTCAGGACGTGACATGATGTGGCCTTTTAAAAGCTATGGGGGGCGGGGGGCAAGGCAGAGCAGCACACTTAAGTGTGTGCAGAGATCCTGAGGTAGAGCAAAGGACTGGAGTGGTTCTGGAAGATGGCATTTTTGTTTGGCCTTTCAGCCAAAGGGCATTTAGTCATTCTGTACATCCAGGTTGTTGCTGGCTTTTATATAATACAATTCTGCAGTTAGAGTTCTTGAAATTGTATTGTTGTGAGTTTGTGAGGATAGCTGGGGAGTAAACTTTAAGGATTGCTGAGTCTCCGACGGTATGTGATTAAGATTTGATAAAATGAAGTGCTTCTATGCTAATGATTACCATTTAACCATTAAGGAAAATGAGGTAGATTTGTGCATATTGATCAGGAAGGAGGACTACAATATGCTGTGTTTGAGGAAACAGATATGCCAAGTTGCCCTCCAAAATAGCATAAATTACTGAATCCACCTACAGTGGTTGAGGATGCCTGCTTCTCTAATCTCTAACAGCAAATGTTTTAAAACTCTTCTCAAAAAGGCAGTGACTATCTGTTTTATTTATTTTTTTAAAAGATTTATTTATTTATTTTTGAGAGAGAGAGCACATGAGAGGGGGGAGGGTTAGAGGGAGAAGCAGACTCCCCGCCGAGCAGGGAGCCCGATGCAGGACTCGATCCCGGGACTCCAGGATCATGACCTGAGCGGAAGGCAGTCACTTAACCAACTGAGCCACCCAGGCACCCAGTGACTATCTGTTTTAAATTGGGGAGCATGTATGTGTAGTGAGCATATTTGATTATTGGCCTGTAGCTTTTTTTTTTAACTTCCTGTTGGTATCTTTGTTTTCCTTTGATAATAGGTCTTTCTTTCCTTTTTTCTTTTCCTTAATAGCTTTTGTGGATACAGGAAATTTAACCTTATGTTGCAGATTTTTTTTTCCTCTGGAGTCTTGTCTATTTGTGGTTTCCTTTATAATTCAGTGTTGTTGTTTTTTTAAGATTTTATTTATTTACTTGAGAGAGACTGAGCACAGGCAGGGGGAGGGGCAGAGGGAGAAGCAGACTCCCTGCTGAGCAGGGAGCCCGATGTGGGGCTCAATCCTGGGACTCTGGGATCCTGAGCTGAAGGCAGATGCTTAACCAACTGAGCCACTTGGGCGCACCGTATAATTGAGGGGTTTTAGGTTAAGTAGTCACCTATCACTCAATTCCTTTTTAATTTCTGGGTTTTAGTAGTCTTGAAAAGAGTAGACTGATTCCTAGTATTTAGGCTTTAGAGAACTTTCACACTTCAGAAAATAATGGTTCTCCTTCCATCTTCCTTCTTTTGAGGAAATGCTAAACCCCTTGAAAAGAGGAAAGAATCCATATTTAAATTCTATTTTTGTTACTGTCAAAAATTTGTTGTATTTTCTTTTTTAATTAAAAAAATTTTTTTAATCTTTCCGCCCAATATAGGGCTTGAACTCATGACCCTGAGATCAATAATATCATGCTCTACCAACTAAGCCAGGCTGGTGCCCCCCCAAAAAATCTTTAAATAATCCTAAGAAATAAGGCACTTGGATTATAAGAAGGAGTGTTACTTAACCCAATAGTTCTCAAATTTGTTTTAGGACTTCTACAACTCTTAAAAGTTAGTGAAGACCCCGAAGAACTTTTGTTTGTGTGGTGTTTATCAATTTTAATCCCTAATGCAGGAAATTTAAATAAAAAAATGAATTCCTTAAAAACCCATTACATTAATGTAGGTAACTTTTTTTTAACATAAAATAACTTTTCTAAAACATTTAGAAGAATTGCATGATTTTATATTTTTGAAAACTTGCTTAATTTGGCTTAACATAAAACCACCTGGATTCTCCTCTGATTCTGCATTCAATCTATTGCATCTCCTTTGGTTGAAGTACATGAAGAAAATCTGGCCTCATGCAGATACGCAGTTAAGAAAGGGAAGAGCATTTCAATAGTCTTTTCAGATAAGTGTGGAGAGTTTTCTTTCATACCGCACTAAAACCCAACAAGTGGCAGTTTCTGAATGTATGGTTGCAATATGTAATCTGAAACCCTTTCAGTGAACATTTTGTACTCTGACAATAAAATCCACTGTGCTGTTCTGCACTTCGAATCAATTTTTGCATTTATCACACATTGATCATTTAGAAATAATGATTCACTGAGAAATGTAGATCATCCAAATGTTGAAGTGTTTCATTATGCAATATCAAACACACATTCGTTAATGTCACCACTGATCTCATCAGAAAGGTGTAAGTATTAGGAAGTTGGCAAGCTAATGATTGTGGATAGGTTTTCCAAAATTCTAGTGTTTTTTTTTTTTTTTTTCTTGAAATGATCATTGGCAACGAATACTGTGTTTCATGAAGTGATAGACTTCTTTCATTCTTCTGAGAAAATGTGCTACAAATACCCAAGTCTGAGTAACCAGTTTGTCTTTCCATTGCTATTTCAACTAAACAGTGTTCCAGGAAAAAGTCCTCTAGTTTAGCTTGCAAACCAAATAATCACACAAATCTTTTTTTCTTGGACCTCACCTGGTACTTTGGCATGCAGCAGAAGTGCTTTATGGTGTACTTATTTCATTGTACAGAATACTAAAAAGACCACTGTTCCTCAGGGTTGAGAGCTAATAAAATTAATACTTCCTACTGCAGATGGTAAAGTGAGATGTGAAGCTGGCAATGTTTTACTGCAGGTGAATGGTACTGAGGAGTATAGGGACTATAAAATATAGTTTATCACCACCACCTTGACTTGTGCTGAAACACAGCAGTTCTGTCCATTGTTGATTTTGTACCATCACCACGAATGTCAACACAGCTGAAGAAGGTGTTAATGTTACTGAGCACATAGTTTGACCTCATAGACCCACTGAAAGGGTCTCAGACCCCCAGGGGGCCACTGACTGCTCTGAGAACCACTGCCCTGATAAAGTGCTTTTGACTTTGTGGCAGATTTTGAGAGTTTTGACCTGCCTGAAGAGCACCAGATTGCACGCCTCCCCTTGAGTGGAGTGCCTCTCATGATCCTTGATGAGGAGAGGGAACTCGAGAAGCTGTTGCACCTGGGCCCCCCTTCACCTCTGAAGATGCCCTCTCCACCATGGGAGTCGAGTAAGTGAACAAGTGCCCTTCTAGAAGGGCTGTGAATTGAGTCATAATATTTCCATTATCATATAGAAGGTTAGCCTACGAGTAATTTCTATTTCAAACCTCAGAGATGAGGTTTTAGAATAATGAAAACTGCTTTCAATTGGTATTGTTTTCAGTCCCAAATGCCCAGGTAACATTAAGTCCTTCTGGAATCTGGACAGTTCTAGATACAGAAAACAAAATTAAATTTAGGATATAGCTTCTTAGCTTATGACTTGAAGTGTAAGAAACTTGTTTGGAACAAGAATTCTAAGTTCTACCCAAAGCAAATCTAGGATTAAGACCCCTGAGCACAATAGCACAGAATGGCAAAACCTTCTTACTGCCAAGGTTGGAAGTCTCGGTTCTAGCTGGTGATCAAAAGCTATCAGCGGTATGTTTTCTTTTTGTTCTGATGGGATAACGTATACTATTTTATAAATTATGTTAGTGATATTGTTGGCTCTTACCTGGGTCTCTAAGAACAGTAGAGTTTCAGGTAGGTCTAAGACTTATTTCCAAATGAAGGTTAATTCTGGGATCTTAGCCACATTTCAAGAAGTAAGTGTGTGTGGGTGTGTGTGTCTAGCTGGGGTGGGGGTAGGGATTCATTAGACAAAGTTGAAAATAAGAATTTATGAGTAAAATTGACAACCAATGTCTGTGTTGAGATGGACAATGACTAAAGCGTTTGCTGATACTGAATATGAAATTCCTGTTTTCTAGATCTGTTGCAGTCTCCAAGCGTTCTGTCGACCCTGGATGTTGAATTGCCACCTGTTTGCTATGACTTAGATATTTAAATTTCTTAGCACTCAGTAGTTTGTGTGTATGTTTTGTATTAATAAAGCAATTCTTTAACAGACTCTTCCTAATTTCGCAGTTGGTATTCTTTGGAATTTGCTTAAAACAGTATGAAAATTAGTGGAAGTGTTTGACAAGGGTCTATAATCTGACAATAGAAGTATATCTGATTTGAAAAACTTACCTTAAAACCCTTTGGTTTGTTTTAACAGCTTATTTTAGACTCAGCCACTGTTCTCCCTGAAACATACACCTTTCAATGTGTACTTTACTGCCTTTCCGTGGCCATTAACTAGTGACAGTTATTAGATCTCTTAATTAGAAGAGCCACTTCCAGCTCATTAAATATCTATTGCTAAACATTCTTTATTGCTGGTTCTATTTGGTTTCTAATGACTTTAATACTCACTATTCAGTAATCAGAATTTGAAAGGCTCTAAATCTGAGAACTCTACCTCCCTGGAATTTTCAATTAGGTTCTTTGAAGATTGCAGCAGATAATTTACGGTTAGTAATATCCACTCTTCACCTATAGGAAACTCTGTTTAGTTGCTTACACTGTATTGGGACCGGTTTTAAGTATTTATTATTTATTTAAAGATTTTATTTATTCATTTGACAGAGCGAGATAGCGAGAGCAGGAACACAAGCAGGGGGAGTGGGAGAGGGTGAAGCAGACTCCCTGCTGAGCAGGGAGCCCCATGTGGGGCTTGATCCCAGGACCCCAGGATCATGACCTGAGCAGAAGGCAGACGCTTAACAACTGAGCCACCCACGCGCCCCTGTTTTAAGTATTTAATAAGCATTATTGTGTTTCAAGTTTATGACCCTATTTTTCAGATGAGGACCGTGAAGCGCAGAAATTCATTGATATGCCAAAGACCTGAAGAGCTATTACTTTGATTCCAAATCTGGGATTGGAATCAAAATATCAGATTGTAGATGGTTGCTCATGGATTTTCTTTTTTGGAGGGCTGGGATGGAGGATATTAAAAATTGTTGTCACCATTTAAAATTCCAAAGTTTCACATACCTCTGGTTTTGGAGCATCTCTTGGAAAAGGAAATCTGGCCCTTGTTTCATACACTTGGACTGGCAGTGGAGTGCTGGCTGCCTTTTAGGTGGAGTGTGGGCTTTGTCCTACAGACCCTTCATGAAGTGGCCCGAAGGGACAACTGAAGTGTTCCTTCTACTGTCTCTTCTCGCTCTAGCTCCCTTCATTCCCTTTACTTGCCTGGGCCATGTAGTCTAATTGAGTTGATCCTTGCATAATACCAGCTTATGTAGGAAGCCTTTCCCCTGTAAGGTCTGTAGCATCTGTAGTCAGAATTCGACACCTCTTCCATCATTATTGCAGTTGGTATTCTATGGAATTTGCTTGAAACTGAAAGCTAGTGGAAGTCTAAGGTTTTAATAGTCTAAGGTCTGTAATCTGACAATAGTCTGTCTTATTGAAAAACTTAAAAAAACACTTCAGTTTATTTAATTTTATTTATTTTATTGCAATAGAGCAGGAGAGGGAAAGAACGAATCTTAAGCAGGCTCCATGCCCAGCGCTGAGCCTGATGCAGCCCGATCTCACGACCCTGAGCTGAAATCAAGAGTTGGACCCTTAACTGATTGAGCCACCCAGGTGCCCCTTAAACGGTTTATTTTAGAAGCTGCCATTTTTCCCTGAAACATACACCCCTCAATGTGTACTTTATTCCCTCCATTGTTAGGAAGTGAACAAGGAAGTGGCAAGATAGGCGTGAAATACTAGGAACACATACACTGATTAAAATTTTTATCTTCTAAATATAACTGAATCAGTCTGAATTTCTGTAATTAGTAGACTTCTGAAAGAGAAAAAAAAATAAGACTATTAGGACACTTGGTTTTAAAGAAGAATATTAGATCTAGCATCCTCAGATATAGCAGGGCGGTATGAAAAGCAAACATGATTCTGAGTGGTTTTCATACTCTATAATAAATTTAGAAGCTTTGGAAAGGGGTCTCTTGTGATGGAAAGAACAAAGGACTGAGAGCATAGCAGCTAGTTAGTCCTTTACCAGCTAGTTGACTGTCCTTGGTCAGCTTGAGCATGGAGTGATCTCTCTTCATCTGCTGTTAATCCAAATACAAAGTGCTTGGGGTACCTGGGTGGTTCAGTCCATCTGACTCGATTTCCACTCTTGATTTCGGCTGAGGTCATGATCCCAGGATCCTGGGATCTAGCCCCTCGTCAGGCTCCACGCTCAGCACAGAGTCTGCTTCTCTCTCGCCCTCCCCTGTTCCTCTCCCCTCGCTCTCTAGTGTGCGTGCTCTTGCGCTCTCTCAAATAAGTAAAATCTTAAAAAAGGTACAAGTGCTTAATGTTGGTTGAGACTTTGAGAACTTTAGACAGATGCTTCTCCATTAACATAATTTTTGCGGGGATTGCTGCTATTTGTATACATTTTACTAAGTATAATGTGTTTTGCTTCATTACTCGAAAAAGCTTACTAGATGTCGTGTTTGCAATTCTAGTCTGTCCAAGCAGTAATGCTCTAAGTTGGTTGTTTTTGGGGTAGACAGTTGCACCACACTGGACCTTAAGGGTGCTCTGATTTATGTAACGTTCACCCATACCTAGCGTACTTATCCACTGGCATTTTTCAGGCTTCAAATTCCAATGAAACTTCAATAGGAACACAAAGCTTTTTATTTATTTATTTATTTTAAAGATTTTATTTATTTGAGAGAGAGAATGAGTGAGAGAACACGAGAGGGGGGAGGGTCAGAGGGAGAAGCAGACTCCCCGCTGAGCAGGGAGCCCGATGCGGGACTCGATCCCAGGGACTCCAGGATCATGACCTAAGCCAAAGGCAGTCGTTTAACCAACTGAGCCACCCAGGTGCCCCGGAACACAAAGCTTTTTAAATATGTTAATGTAAATATTCTGTCAGACCAATTCTGAGCAATGGTACCAAGTCACAGAAGGGTCAGTACAACCATCAGAATTCCCAAGTTGACTTTGTTCTTTCCATTAGTTTAACCAATCATGTACTCAGGCCCCTCTGTGCTAGGGACCAAGGCTGTGATATGTGATAGTTAAGTAACACATTGCCCCTGCTCTTGGGCCTGTTGTCCAGTGGGGGAGACTGGCCGGAAATGCTGTCAGGCTACAGGAACATGAATCCAGGGGTGGGAAGAACCAGCTGCTGGGGAGCACTTTCCAGCCCAGTTTAGGGAAGGGCAGGAGAGGCTTCCTGAGGAGAAACATGGATGGACACTTGATGGAAGAGAAATGCTCTGGGCCGAGGAAACAGCTTCTGCAAATGCCAGGAGGCAAGAGAACACAGCCTGTTGAATGTTTAATGAAAACTAAGCTTTTCCCCTGTAAGGTCTGTAGCATCTGTAGTCAGAATTCGAGGCCTTTTCCATCATTATTGCAGTTGGTATTCTATGGAATTTGCATGAAACTGAAAGCTAGTGGAAGTGTTTAATAGCCTTGGGTTTGTAATCTGACAGTAGTTTGTCTTATTGAAAAACTTAAAACCCTTCGGTTTTAATCCCCCCCACCTTTTTTTTTTTTTTTTTTTTTTTCTTTTTCTACTTCAGGGTTGAGCAAGGAGTGTGGTTGGTTAACAAACGAGTCTGGAGAGTTAAGCAGGGGCCACATGGCTTTGTAAACTATGGCGGGGGTTTAGTGTCTGTCCTAGGGATGTTAGGTGCCGTGGAAAGGTTTTAAGGAGGGAAGTGACAGGGTCAGATTTGTGTTTCAGAACCTCACTCTGGAGGCAGGGAGACCAATCTGGAGTCTGCCGTAAATGATGATGATGATGAAATGACCTTGAAGAGGTGACAGTGGAGAATGGAATAAGGCTTTGGGAGGGATCCAGGAGTTGGACTTGGCAGGGCAGCAAATGGTGTGGAGATAGCACTGGGAAGAGTCAGCGATGCCTACAAACACCCCTCACAGGAGGGTCCCCAGTTGTGTTTATAAACATGTTTGTTGCTGCATAGTTTGTAATCAGAAAATATGATACAGATGCACATTGGAATGAAATGTATTCATTAAAAGGGATCTAGGGGAGCCTGGGTGGCTCAGTTAGTTAAGCGACTGACTCTTGATTTTGGCACAGGTCATGATCTCAGGGTCATGAGATCGAGCCCGACGTCAGTGTCCATGCTCAGCACAGAGATTCTCCTTTCCCTCTGTCCCTCCCCCACTTGCTCGCTTGCTCTCTTTCTGAAATATTTTTTTTTAAAAAGGATCTATATATGTGGCCATGGAACGATAACCATGGAACTTTTTCATTGTCAAAAGTGGGTTACACTTTCTGCCTGTGGATGCTGCCGAGTAAGCATCGTTAAGGTCTCCCCTCCCACCGCTGTCATGTCTAAGTCAGAGTCTCCAAAGAGCTGAACAGCTGCGGAAGCTCTTCATCGGAGGTTTGAGCTTTGAAACAACTGGTGAGAGTCTGAGGAGCCATTTTGAGCAATGGGAAATGCTTACGGACTGTGTGGTAATGAGAGATCCAAACACCAAGCGCTCCAGAGGCTTTGGGTTTGTCATGTATGCCACTGTGGAGAAGGTGGAGGCAGCCATGAACGCAAGGCCACATGTGTAACCAAAGAGGGCTGTCTTGAGAAGATTCTCAAAGACCTGGTGCCCACTTAACTGTGAAAAAGATTTTTGTTGGTGGCATTAAAGAAGACACTGAAGAACATCACCTAAGAGATTATTTTGAACAGTCTGGGAAAACTGAAGTGATCGAGATCATGACTGACCGAGGTGGTGGCAAAAAGAGAGGTTTTGCTTTTGTAACATTTGATGACCGTGACTCTGTAGACAAGATTGTCATTCAGAAATACCATACTGTGAATGACCACAACTGTAAAGTAAGGAAAGCCCTATCTAAGCAAGAGATGGCTAGTGCTTCATCCAGCCAAAGAGGTTGAAGTGGTTCTGGAAACTTGGTGGTCGTGGAGGTGGTTTTGGTGGGAATGACAACTTTGGTTGTGGAGGGAACTTCAGTGGTTGAGGTGGCTTTGGTGGCAGTCGAGGTGGTGGTGGCTATGTGGCAGTGGGGATGC